GTTTTGTGTAACTTCAGCTGCGTTACACATAGCGCATCCTTACCCCACCAGTTCCAGCCATGCTTATAGCAGACGCTGCTTCTTCCATCAGAAGTCTTTTCTGCAGCCTTTCAACTTTCTTTTTAGCTCATAAACATAACTCTTGCACCTCTAACAACCAGCCAAGGGTTGGGGTGTTCTCTATGCTTGTGAACATGAAGAAGAAGGAAGACTTCCAGTTGAAACAGCTTTGCTAGAGAAACATTGGAACGGGCCGTCACGCCTTTGGCACATCACGGGATGCAGACCTTGCTTTTACTGAAGGTAATTTTACAGATCTGTCTGGAGGCATGAAAACCCAAAGGAAAGCAGAGAGAGCTCTTAATATCTTTTTCCATCTGTGATGCAAAACACATTTCGACTTTGAATTCAGCCATCAAGAAGAACGGTGCTTGAACACTGTTCCTTGACCTTTAAAATGCAGTTATTTTCCAAATCAGTAACCAAATGCACACCCTTAAGGAAGTTTACAGATGTGCATTGTCCAAGCGTTTCACATCAATCTGGGAAGAAGTGTCTGAGTCAACTGGAAGAAAATAGAAGGTGGACTCTTTATGCCTGAAAGAACATCACTGGTGCTGTTTTTATAAATGGTCTTACATCAGTAAAGACCCTTAAACTGTACTCAGTGCTGCGCAGTATTTGCAAGCCCACTTAAAACAAGCAAAGGTATTTAAATGTGTTAACTCCTCTCGCGTGCATCGATGCGCACAAACACGTACAAATACAGGCTTGACTTTTCAAGTCGCATCAAGAGCAGCCGTGTAAGACGGTGAACAGAAGTGATTCCCTGTCAGCAAAGGGAATCCTGATCCCACTCCTGTAGGGATTTCTGGTCTCGTATTTGCAATTGAGAGCTACATCTGTAACTGCTTCTGGAGAAAAGATTTTTACAGGCTGGGAAAGGTGGCCATGGAGGGAATGCTTCGCACCATCTAGTTGCTCCGTGGCATTTTCCAAAGCCACTTAAAAGGTTTTGTTTTCTGATTGCTGGCCAGGTAATTGGTTCTGTATCTCTCTTGGTTTCAGGAAAACTACGTCTAAGCGTCCTCTCCCCATGCTTCCAACATGCTATGACGTTGATGAAACGGGAGCTAATTTCTGATTGAGCCCAGAAGCCTGGCCCACCTTCTGGTGCCCTAGAAAATTTTGACTCAACTTTGGCAAACAAAGCCTATTCCAGGCTTGTAGAAAACCCCGGGGATAACGTAAGCCTGGGCATGAAATCATGTAGTGTTTTCTGTGCTTTGCTGCGTGGCGCTGACTCTTTTTTGCTAGCATTTAGGGGATGTTTGAGTATCATTTCAAGGCTATTTTGGCAAAGTCCATCCTTGTTACTCAAGTAGGGTGCCTTGATCCTGACACCAGCCTCTACTGTCAGCTGTGCTCTAGTAAGGTCTTCTGTTCTCAGGTGGGTGCTGCGTGCCACTTGCTCCTCGCTTGCTGCGGGGTATAAAACAGGCTGCAAAATTCAGTTTAATATTAATTATTCTTTCTAGGGGAAAGTATCTGGAAAGTCAAATGGTTTGAATTTCCTTTCATGATTGAAGGTGGAGTAAAAATACAAAATAATCTAATGCATAACACCTAGTCAGTGCAGCCACCTTTTGCAAATTGTATAGTACATAAAAAATGCCCTTCGCAATAAAACATTCCCCCAGAAAAAAAACCTGAAGTCCAGGAGCTTGTGGTTTTTCTGGTGTGTCACGTGCAGAAAGCAACTGGGTGTCTTGGCTTTTTTGTTCTTGTTGTTCGAGGAGGGAAAACATCTGACACGTGTTCTCATGTGGTCTCACGCCTTCAGAAGTGAGAAGGAGCTGATGTTGCAATGTAAACGTGGCACGCTTTGGTCTCTTCTCCCGTTTTAGTTTTTCCCCACAAGTGTAAGGTGGGGCCTGACCCAGATGCTTCCCCAGAGAAGTGAGTACCAGCTCCCTGGGGGGACTGGACACATAGCGCTATAAGTGAAGAAGTTAAGGTCTGGATGGATTTCAGGTAGTCCAGTGAGTAAGTGACACCCATTTGAAGTCACTGGCATGGTGGCTCCACCTCGCCGGTCTCTAAACGAGCAGGAGGAATCGTTCCCACGAACCCATCATGTTGCAGCAAACGAGAATACACCACCGAGAAAGAACTGGGGTGCAGTTTGTTCTGATGTTAGCTCACTGTTATCCTCCAACGCATCCTCGATCTGTCAATGATAAAAAATACGCCAAAGTATTTGGGTTTTCCCTGTTCCCTGGAGTGCCCAGGTGTGCCTTCCAGATGATGGTTCTTTTTCAGCAAGGGCAGGTTTTTCAACTGGCGCAGGACCAGTGAGCCTTCTGCCAGACCTCAGGCATCTGCTGCTGTGGGTGTGTGCCCGGCTGGCCCGGTGCTCCTGCTGCTCTTCACCTGCTTCTGCTCTCCGTCTCAAGAAGAGTGCAGTGCTGCTGGCGGAGAGGGGAGCAGTAAAGCTCTGCAACTCATGGGAGGAATTTTCAGGCGGCGAGCTCTGTGCTGGAAGGCGAAGGGGGTGGGATGCTGTGTCCGCAGCAGTGAGCAGAAAATACCTGCAGAGCTCCCTGCTCTGCCCACGCTGCTATTCCGCTTCCCCGTGGGCATGGTTATAGTCCCACTGCAGGCAGATTTTTCATTTTTTCCTTGAAATAGACTTGATAAAGCAAAAGCAAATAATGTTAGCTTGAAGGAGCAGAAAGCTTTTTCTCTTAAGATGCCTTCCCTCACTTATATTCAAAAATCCAGCACGCCGGGGCAGAGAAAGTTTAGCCTTATCCAGGCGTTGTTGACCTCATATAACTGCTTCGTGCTCTGGAAGGAACATCACGTTCAAACCATTGTTTATTCCTGTTTCGGTAGTCAGGGCACAGAGTCTGCTTCCTCAAACCGCTTGAGACTGTTAGTCCATCCCCTGGTCCCACACGTCGCCATTCAGCACAAGCTCAGAAATCGGTGCGTGTTGCTCGAACAAGCACTTACCGCTCTAGCAGATGAGGATTTCATCCTTTACGAGGCGGGCATTGGGGTCCTGAAGCGGACCCCTCTCCATCCCCGGTCAGCAGCACCCAGCCCGCTCTCTTCTCAGAGGTCTACAGTGATTTTGATTTGGTAAAGATCCGAAGTCCACGATGGCAGCTGAAACTCCTTGACACGATGTCGCTAAAATCGTGGCAGTGTCAGGTAATCCAGCCGCTGAGCAGTAGGAGTTCTGCTGACCCCCGTGTTTGGGTTTGTGGAGGGGACAGCTTCATCGCAACAGTCTTTTCCTTCAGGTTTGGTTTTGTTCTGTTGTGGCAGCAGGTTTGAGCTGGTTCATCGTTCCTGGTATCTCCAGGAGAACCAGAGGTTGGTTTTGTTGTGCTCTGTGCGCATTGTGAAATTCTCTGCTTTGCCAATAAATAATTGTAAAAAATCCCAACTGTGCTGTGGGTTGATTTGCGTTGAAGACTGAAGGTCAGAGCCATCTGGTTGGTAAAAATTCCCCATTAACCTTTTGTCCTCTTCCAGTCTCAAGACTGCCCATCTTTTGGTGTGTTGGGTTTTTTTTCTCTCTTTTGGAAACTGATCCTTCAGGACAGTCATTGTGTTAAGTATATTTTATGAAGAAACCGGAGTTTCTAGTGGTGTCTCCCCTGAGTATTTTCAGCAAATTTCATTAGGCACCTTCAAAAAAAGCTTCCGTAATTCTCGGTTTTGCTACAAGAACTGGTCCCTCAGGTGGAACCAAAATGCTGCTTTAAAAACAAACAAACAAAACATACAAACAAAAAACCCAAAACGCTCATCCTGATAATAAATTCAAAGCATCTAGTCCTTTGTTCGTAACCTCTCAGTCACCCTAATTCCAGACAGATCAGCAGAAGACGCTGTTGAGATGTTCCCCTGTAGCGTACCAACAAGTCAAGAGTTAGAGAAAGGTGCGTCCTGCCGCGGGGTCCGGCAAACCCTCTGCTCCTACTTGGAATTCAAGTATTGAGGAGAGCGTCCCAGACCCAAGGAGAGCATCTCGGACCTCGAGCTGGCCTTCGTGGGAGGAAGGGGCTGGGAGGCAGACGATCAACCAGCGTCATGGTATTCCTGCTCCGCCGGGTCACCTTCTCCTGACTCGAGTTTTCACGTGAGGCATCACATTTACATTTTGGGTCTTGCTTTGGCCATGCAAGACCATGGTCAGTGGTGAAACACAAGGATAAGACCAGCGTATGCTTGGGTGAGGTGAGCGCAACTTCTCCTGTTCCCTCCCGCTTTGGCAATGTCACTGATCGCAGGCTACATGCTACCTGAAAAAAAAAATAAGAAAAAAAAAAAAATGGCCCCCAGAAGTGCTTGCTCAGTGTCGCAGGATTTGTGTCAGAAAACGAACAAACGGGAAGTGAGTGGCAGATGTGTCCGGTCAGTCCGGAGTCTCTTAGATATTGCAGAGAGTGAGCGTGTTGTTAGCACGTGGCAAGCTACATAATAGAAGATGCTACATTCCTTGGAAAAAAAAAATAGTGCTGAGTTGGATTTTTTTCTGAGGTTTGTTTTTTTTTTCTTCGAAAAGCTACCTTTTCCTCAGAGGCAAGGAAATGAAATCGAAGGAAAAGAAACTTCGTCAACATGCTGCTGGCAGCGGCGCTGAATGAATCGGACCGAGATGCTCTCGCCGGGTGGTCAGGAGAGAAACGCGTCGCTTCGATTCCTTTCTGCCGGGGTGCTGGGACGCGGTGCGGTAACAGTCTC